GATACTCTTTAAAGAAGCTGTGATTAATGAAGTTAATCTATGTCGGATGTGAGGCAATTACTCACCGAAGACAATGGAAGATGGACGCGCAATTTTGTGGATTGGTTGATGTTAGACATAAACACCGTTGGATGCCGGTCCAATGGTCTAGAGGTTAGGCATTGACACGTGAGACCGAAAATCCTGGGTTTGAATTCTACGTGCCGGACCGTGGGTGCTTACTGCTGAGAAGTTCCGCTCTAGGACTAGACGGCTGTCCAGTGCTTCCAGGTTTTCAGTGGTGGTCTAACATTGATCCATTCATAATCACAATTCTATTTATTTCATGTTTTTTGGCAACAAGAAGAATAATAATCACTTGAAACTTTATTCACAAGATATTTTAAAAAATAACTTATCCAATCTTTTTATCGATGGCCAATAAAACGACTTATGTCATTATAATAAAATAAGATACTTGGCTTCACTTAAAGTTCATATGTTTTTTAAATAATTATTACCAGATGTATGTTAATTTAAAGCAATAATGCTCCAGTATGCAATTCTATCGATTGAAATGTAGGACAGATGAATAATGATCGAATCCCTAAACTTATATCTATTCGGCACTTGGTCTAAATGTCACCTAAAAGTTATTCAATTAGGTAAGAGAGTAAAATCACTACTCTTTGCACAAAGTATACAGCTTGAATTCGAATATGTAAAATTCTATTTGATAAATAAATGACGTAAATCACTTGAAATTAATTATGAGAAAATGGTCTTCTTATAGCTTAAGATATGTGGTGAAAGAATACTCTACTGACGGATCGATTAAATTTAAGATAGCGGTTGTTGGGTTTTTCTACCAAATTCAAAACAAGATTATGGATAATGTATATCTTATTAAAAGCTCAATGAATAATACTAACATTTAGTTGCTAACTTGGTTAGAATTGGTAGAAAATAAGAAGATTAAACAATAGAAACTATGATTTATAAAGTTTAAAGATAACTTAAGAGTCACAATTGATTGATCACTGTGTGGCGATCAATGTCATGGGTATCTAGTCCTTATTAGTGCAGATCGAATGCTATCGACCATGTTGCAATGTGGCCACCAGTCTACGTGACTTGACATTGCTGGAACTGTATATTGAGATTAGATGGTGGTTGAAGGTATATACATAGTACCCGCAATGTCGAGTCACCTAGACTGGTGGCCACATTGCAATATGGTCGATAGCATTCGATCTTCACTGATAAGGACTAGATACGCATGACATTGATCGCCACCCAGTGATCAATCAATTGTGATTGCACCTCAGTCCTACAGGAGGTCGGTCGCGGCTCGGATAGCGCAGTGGTAACGTCTCTGACTGTGAAGCTGGGTGACACGAGATCGAATCCGACAGGAAGCACCAGTTCCTCCAAGATTACAGGTACACCTTGCTGACGAGTGCCAAGTAGCACGAAACCAGGGTCCAGCGTTTTCTGTCGACTAACTCCAACCAGCATATAACTTAAGAGTTCTTGATTCTAAAATTACCATAACTAACTACGTAGGTATTCAACATTACTTTTTCTGGTTAGCGTTTTTTTAACGAGTTAATTTTCTACGGGATGAGGTCGCTAACCCCATGCCCAACCCTCCTCCTTTACCCGGGCTTGGGACTGGCAGTAACTCTAAAAGAGCTACAGGTGGAGTTAAGTATTCAACATATGGAACTATAAATTATTCATCAACTCGACTTCTTTTCACTACTTCTAATCGTCAATGCAATACTTTCATAATAGTCTTAACCCAGACATAACTTTTATGTACATTCTTGTAATAAATTATTCATGAATATCAAGTTCGTTTTGAGTTGTTGAAAATCCGATTAATTTGTGAAGGCTATTATAAAATCTTTAAACATTACATGTTTAGTTTATTTAACCATATACATTAATATATATATATATATATATATATATATATATATATATATCTTCTAATTTTACAATATTCACTATTATAAACTGATTGGTTCGACTAATGACTTTTAATAGGACAATGAAATGATTACAATTGAAATGAATCTTCGATTTCACTAAACATAAACTGGTATTTTAATAATTGAATTCATGAGTCAATTGAAGCTAGGCCACCATGAAAAACCTGGAAGTACTGGATGGCCATTTCATTCTAGTATGGGACTCCTCAGAAGTTCGCATCCACGATCCCGCCTCGCGAGATTCGAGCCCGAGACCTATCAGTCTCACGCGCGAACGCTTAATCTCTAGACCAATGAGCCTTCATTCATCAGTGTTAATGTCTAACTTCAACCAATCCACAAAATTGCACCACCGTCCACCATTGTTATCAGTGATCTACTATCTCACAACAGACCCGATTGAACTCCACTGGTCACTGCTTCACACTAGAACTCCAGGAAATAACCCTTGGAGACAGTTACTATTGAGCATATGATGATGATGATTAGAGAAGGATTTCATGAACATTATATTAATTAAATAATTGAATTCATGAGTCAATAAACTGATATCTATCAATCACTTAATCTATTTATGAATTGAATATTCACTTAAATTGTATTTAATCATAAGTAAAAATTTCAAGTCACTTTAAGTTATTCATTAACGTCTCACTATGTTTTCAAAGAAACTCCTTTTTTTTAAATGATAAATTAAAACATTAATCCATTCATGATATCAATCAAAATTTAATTAGAGTAAATGTGTTTCTATCTTTTATACCTTAAAAGTACAATCAAATAAATTTAACTAAACATAAAGACAATTTGAACCTCAATGGAATTCATGTGTCTTAAATATGTTATTGTTCTATGGAAACAACCAAAAACACAAACACACACAAAAAAAAGAAGAAAAAGAAAAGAAAGGACAAAAGTTAGAAAGAGAGGAATGAAGAGAACTGGAAAAAAGAAGAACAAAGACTCACAAAACAATAGAAAATAAACAAAATAAAGAATTCGCGAGAGAAAAAAAATATATATATATACAAGCGATTTGTTATATAACGATGAAAAATACTAAATCATTCCCAGTTGATAATGATAATGAAAACGAGTACAAGTATTCGTGGTTGTAAATAGGTTCACACACGCACACATACACACGCACACGCACAAAAGAATGTGTAATAACACATGTTGAAAAACTCTTACTACTCATTAGTAAACAATTAAAACAAAAATGTTTAGTAAACCTCAAATAGGCATAAAACACATATACATAGTAACTGAGATGTACAATACAACGTACTATTTAACATCTTAATGAGAAGAAAAAATGATTTAAAATTTCTCAATTTATTTATTTATTTTGTTCTAATGAATGCCTCATTAATAACTGTAGTTCTTTTTTCATATACAGATATTTATGATTTTAATTTGTTTTCCCTTGTAAACGAAAGTACATCTTTTGGGGCATGTACTTATGTTTATTGTTATCAACTTTTAATGAAGTAATATATTTTTGCGGAGGGAGGGAGGAGGAATTTTATTGAAACATCATTTGTTTTAAGTAATAGATTCATAATCTATATTAATAGTTGAATTCATGAGCCGATTGAAGCTAGACCATCATGGAAAACCTGCAAGTACTGGATTGCTGTTTCATCTTAGTATGGGATTTTTCAGGAGCGCGCATTCACGATCCCACCTCGCAAGATTCGAAGCGTTGGGGCTTTACCTCTAGACCACTGAGCTGGCATCCAATGGTGTTAATGTCTAACTTCAAACCAGCTATTAGAATTACTGTAATATCCACAAAACCCCTCTCTGATCATAATCTATCGTTTTTTTAATTGCGTTTAATTTAAAGTATCTTTAATAAGGTGATATAAGTTGTTCACTTATAACTTATTTCGAGACAAGTTTTTGAAGTTCTTTTGAAAAATTATGATAAATGGAGTTGAACATAATTAATAATGAAGTAGTTGCTACCATTGTGTTATATCATGAATTGATCAATAAAATTTTTATCATTATACATCATTGTATTGTCTGATGGCAAAGCATTCACCATGAAACTTAAAAGCTCTAATATCGCGGGTAGGCTTTTCTAAATTACCATGCACTGGTATAAAATAGCTGTCCAATCGCCCATGATTTGAGATGATAATCAAGGGAGATCGATCCATAATGAATATCACTAGAAGACTTAAAATTAAATAATTACAATATTCCATCTAATAATTTGCCTGGAATCCTTGTTTAGGACTACTCAGAAGTGCATACCCATGACCTTATATGAGATCGGAATTGACACAAAACAGTTCTTGTCTGTTGGTTTTCATTTTTGACTGTAATCAGTGCGTGATATGACATAACTCTCATCTAATATTATCCATTTCATTTCTGATATTTTTTAAATTTACTCACTGGTTGGCGTTTTTTTAGCGAGTTAGTTTTCTACGGGATGGGGTCGCTAACCCCATGCCCTACTCTCCTCCTTTATCCGGGCTTGCGCCCGGCAGTAGCCCCCGGAGGGACTCCAGGCGGAGTTATTTTTGAAATTTACCAACCACAAATTTACATTAAGATTTCAATATTCTATTTTAGAGTTGATAATTTGTCAGCATAAGATTTGTAGTAATCTAAGATTTGGGACCACTGACTTATTATATTATTGTATTTACTATCATATTTTAAGCCACTATGTTCAACTAAATGTGTATGGTTATAGGTGAATACCAGATTAGAACTCTTAAACTGGAACAAAACAACTGACTAATTATACAATTAACATTTCTTTGTAATGATGACCAGGATCACATTAATATATCTCTACAAACAAGTTCCTTATCTTAATGAACGTCTTTATATTACAAGTAAGGGGTGGTAGAAGTAGTGGTGTGAGTGGTAATAATAATAATGGAAAGAAATGTATATTTCAACTATTTAGGATGTACTGATTTAAATTACTATTAACTGAAATAACATTACAATTACAATTCATTTCTAATTCCTTTAAATTGTATATTTTTTTTCTAGGTAAACCAATTCAATGTTGGGTACCACAAGAATTTACTAAATCATGGGAAGAATATGCTGAAAATTTATGCTGGGTATCAAACACATATTTTTTATTACCTAATGAAGAAATACCAACAGATCAAGTAGATTATGAAAAAGTTAAATTTATTGGTTATTATCAATGGGTTGCAATAGTTTTAGCTGGTCAAGCTATGATGTCATGGGTTCCACATTTATTATGGCGTGTTGGTTCAAGACGTTTACCATTATTATTAAAATCAGCAAGAGAAGCCGCTATACCAGATCGTGAATTACGTTTAAAAGCGGTATCATGTTTAGTAGCTACATTAGAAGAACAAGCTGAATCTCAATCAAGATTTCGACGAATTAAATCAATATTAACTCGTTGTTTATGTGGTGTTACACCAAATGCACGTTTAACTATGTTATTTTTATTTGTAAGAGCATTATTTGTAGCTAATTCAGTTGGACAAATTTATTTAATGAAACGTTTTACCGGTTTTAATAGTACCGTATTTGGATTAAGATTATTACAAGATTTATCAGCTGGTGTTGAATGGGAACGAACTGGACATTTTCCCCGTGTTACATATTGTACTATAAAAGTTCGTAAAATGGGTCAAACTAAACCAGCAAGGTAAGTTATGTGTATATATATTTAATACTTTATAAATTGATTCTAGTTTTATGCATAAATACATGATTTATCAGTTTTTTTGTTTATTATTGAATATTGAATTTTGATAAGAATGCATCTCTTGTATCTATCGTGATCTAAAACTATGTATGAATGAATACCTAATAGGCAGATTTATTAAACGGGATTCTGATAGTTGCCATAAAATTCTAAATAGTTTACGACAGTCTAAAGGTTCATTTTTTAACTATAAAAAACAAACAAACAAACTAGAATTAGTTTAGTTAATGATCTTGACTTGAAAATTATTATATTGTCTATAAAACTCTTTGTTGAACTGAAGATAAATAAGAATCATACATCTAAAGAATTAAAACTTCAATCTTCATCCCATAATTTGTCAGTTTTAGACATAAAGTATAGATATTTTTTTATGAAACAACATGATCTTCTAGTTACTGTTAACTTACTTCATTACTTAACCTATTCAAAATTGACTTTTTTGATATGGTAACTATTAAATATTGTTCTAGGAAGTTCCCTTTTACTTAGAATTGTCAGATTATTCTTATATTCTCTTCAACTATCTTATGCTATTTGTTGCTATCTGATTAAGTCAACTTATTATTTTCTTTTTCAATTCAAAAATGTTCAGTAACTTTGCTTTAACGATCTTTTAATCTTTTTTTTAATTTTCAAAATGTAATTAATCGATAATGTTCTTTTTCAAGTTTCCTATTGATCATCATGTCTAGGTAAATCATTTTATTTACAGTTCTCTTATAGCATCAATCTAGTTTTGCCTTTTTTCTTTTTTTATTGAATACTTAAACAAATCAGTATTATGTAATCCATTTTTAACATGATGTTTCAATTTTTTATTCATTTTATTATGGATTGATTGAAGTTAGACATTAACACCGTCGAATGCCAACCTACTCGGTGGTCTAGTTGATTAGGCGCCTGGCGCAAGACTGATAGGTTCTGGGTTCGAATGTCGCGAGGTGGGGTCGTGAATGTGCACTGCTGAGGAGTCCCATACTAGGACGAAACGGCCGTCCAGTGCTTCCAGATTTCCATGGTGGTCTAGTTTCAATTGACTTATGATTTCAATTAGTGTACTACAGAAATCTTTGAATTCTATAATTATTCTTTTTTGACCCCCCCCTCTCTTTCTCTATAAAGATCCAACAAGAAAAGTTAGTTAGAAATGGGAAAATTACTTTTGAACTTATTCATAAGATCAATAATGATTCTTTTTATACATAGATAGGTATACTGAAAATACAAATGTATGTATATGTTTACCTTTCATATAAAACATATTTGTAAGTGTGAAGAGATTTAAGTTGTATAGTGATTATTCTATAAATTATAAGTTGTAATTAGACATAGAAAAAGAATATTCTTACCAATAATTAATTAAGAGAATAGTTTCTTATTATTATTATTTTTTCATTGTTTCACATTTAATTATAACTAAGATGAAAGCTTACAAGTAAACTATACTTGAAGACCAACATGACAAATGAATGATTTGAATGAAGGGGGGAAAAGATTTACAGTATATGAGTATGTTTAGATTTAGACCTTAGTATATTTCATTCTGAATAAAGAATATTGTCTTTAATGAATGATTAAATCGCTAAGGTATATTTAATTATTCATGAAATCTATGGAAGATTATATTAGAAAATAAATGTGTTGTTATGAGTTTATAATGTATAAATGAAATTTTGAAGAACAAATGTGAAGAGATAGAATATTGATATTTAAGTGTGTGGTCGGTACAAAGATGTATTATAGTGAATAAGAATACTAGTGAGGACAACTAGGATGTATTTTAATACAAAACTACAGAATATCTTTGTAAAATCCGAGGATTATATAGTAAATACTTCATTTGCAAGACGTCTACTAATTATCTCAGACTTTGTTGTTCCTTCATTTCTATACCAATTATTCTCTGTTCTCGTTGTCTTCTGTTTTATCCTTTTCAACCTTCTTCTCCCAGGCATTCCATTTTTGATTGGTGATACATACAACTTATATTTGTCGACATCAGTAGCACACACAACAATATCATTTGAAAATAAAGTAAACCAAAGAAAATCGTCTTTATTTTAGAAAAACAAAATTAAACTAATTGAATCTTGTTCTAATGAAGTGGTTGTGATATGCATGGATTGTGTAACATGTTACCAAAATTATCGACTGTCATGGTGAATAATGTAAGTAGATGCAAACTAATTACTCGATGGCTAAATGTGACCAAATATCAGAGATTTTGGATGACAGAGGGCAGATGATTCCACTTTTTATCTTTTCTTTAGATTGTAACTTTTTTTGGTCATCTACAAAATATTTTTTATTTGACAAATGTATATTTTTCAAGCTGTGCATGACTAACTAATGAATGATGGACGCTAACTCAGTGGTTTAGATGTTAAGCGTTCGTGTGTGAGATCGATAGGTCCTGGTTTCGAATTTCACGGGGTGAGATCGTGGGTGCGCACTGCTAAGGAGTCACACACTAGGACGAAACGGCCGTACAGTGCTTCCAGGTTTTCCATGTTGGTTTAGTTTCAAATGACTCATGAACTCAACTAGTAAATTACTATAATATCCATAAAACCACTTTCTAATAATAATGAATAAGTGACTAAATATTTAAATAAAAACTATAGAAATCGACAAAATATTATAATCCATTGTTTGTTCGTCCTTTATTATTAAGTAAAACTTGTGGAATAGAGCTGAGTCTAAAATTCTGAAAGAAAATAAAGATGGTATTTTACCATAGTAACTAGTATTCACATCAACGTATATGGTTTCTAAGGTACGATTCACAATCTCTGAGTGTGAAATCAATGTATTCAACTTATTATATTTGAAATAATCTTGGCGATTGAAATTTAAATAATTCCAACGTTTTGTCCAGTAAACTTGACTGGATTGTTACCCTTGAAGAAGTTCAGAAAAGTATACTGGACAAAACGTTGAAATGATTTCAAATTTCAATCTATGAGATTATCTCAAATATAATTTTCACATATAATGACTTCTTTATACTTGGCCCCCAATTTTCGTCAAACTATTCATTCTAATTATCAGAATGAGTTTTGTGGAGATTTTTAGACATTTCACTGGTTGAAATCATGAGTCAATTGAAGCTAGACCAACATGGAAAACCTGAACACAGTGTACGGCCGTTTCGTCCTAGTATGGGACTCCTCAGCAGTGCGCATCCACAATCTCGCCCACCGCGAGATTCGAGCCCAGTGCTTCCAGGTTTTCCATGGTGATCTAACTTCAATTGACTCATGATTTTAACCAGTGAAATATTCGCTCGAATATTGACGAATATTCGTATAAATTCATTCAATTTACTATGAAGATACTTTTAAATCATGAGATAGATTTTCACAAGTTTGATATGATTTATATAATCAGTTAGGTAAGAAATTAGGTTAGATATTAAATACATTATAGTTTGACTATAAAATTGACAAATAAACTACATTAAATTCCTATTATATTGACTCTACAGTATTCTATTCATTGAAGTCATCTTGATTTCCTCGATCTTTCACTAATATAAACTTATTGATTGATATTACAATAACATTAAAACAGTTCACTGTGACGCATCGTTTAAATTCTGTGATCCAACTTTTTAAAACAACAATAATATCTGTGTTTGTTCAAACATTCAGCTTAGAGACTGTGACATCACTAGAAAAATTAATCCCTTGAACTTTATTATTATGAAAGTTTCATGGGTAAATTAAAACGACCTTTCATGAATAACCAACTTACTTGAGTTATGAAAAATTTATCAAATCTATCTTAGATTATATACAAGAATAGTACAAAACTAGATAATATAAGTTATATTTTCATTACTTCAAAAGGTCATTAATTTTTCTTATTATATATCTTCATAATAAACAAAGGGTGAGTGGGTGGGGGGATATATTTCAAGGTCATTTATGGAAATGAAACAACAACAACAGCAACAAAAAAATATGGTTAGCTGAAAGTTAGGCCAAATCTGATGATAACAAGTCATATAGAAAATGTTTACCTTAAATGTAATTTTCCTTGAAAGAAAAAAAACTAAAAAAAATCCACTTTAATCAAATTGATTATCTTTTACAATAAAAAAAATTTTTTTTAAAAAAAGAAGAAAATTTCACAAAACTAAAAATTCCTTCATAGAAATAGTCTATTTACCTCTTAAAATTATGGATGAATGAATGATCAGAATCTTTTCTCTATTTTTTCTTCGTTTCTTTTATTATTCAATATTGAGAATGAAAGTTTATGATAAAGTACAATATAAAAGTTTAAGATGAAAATTTTTTTCGTTTGTTGTTGTTTTTTAACTACCGTTTTTGATTGTACACTTATATGTATTCATTCATAGTAACACATACATACAACTTATGTTATAGGATATATATATATATACATATATGGGATATATATAGGGTATATAGATAGATAGATAGATACTAAATGAAATAAAATTCAAGATTATATCTTTCTTATGAAGCAGAAATGAAGACCTATTTCTATCAGTAACCTTGGAAGTGTAACGTTTGTAAAAATTGTGAATTTGATACAAATTTAAGATATATATATATAAATGGGAGAGTGAAATAGAATAACAGTTGATCACAAACCTGTACTTTTCTCATCAAGTAATTTTAAGGGCCATAGAGGTCATATCATTTCTGTTTTTATTTTTTTATGAAAAGAAAATATTTAAAGTATGATCATAACAACAACAACAACAAAAAAGTAGAATGAGGGATAGAATAAATGTGATGTGATCTGAAAGTTGGTATATATACATACATATATGTGCGTGACAGTAATTCGATTGATTTATGTTTTAAAAAGACTTTGATACAAACAAAAATAATTAATTAATTTGAATGGTAACATGAACTAAGTTAGAAACTGATTTTCAAAGGAAACAATAAAACACATCA